TCTTCCTAAAGATTGATGTACACACCCAGTGCTCACAAATTCACTCATGAGCTTGGATATTAATCTTGCTTTAGCTAAATATACACTATCAAATTTCAATGGTTCCCTTCAGCAACACCAGTGAATGCCTACCGTATACAAGGCATTTTGCTTGTCTGGGTGGGGATGGGTAAGAGAAGAAACCCATGTAAAGAGCCCATTACATTCTCAAGCAATTTATAATCCGGTAAGGATAACAAGGTGACTATAAACTAAGCTAGAATCTTCTAGAATACCATAATGCATAATACTTATTGGTATTGCATAAAATAATCAAATCATGTGATTTTGTAGTTTAAAGGAATATTAGAGGTTTTATAGATGAGAAAAGGGAAGGTTTAAATCATGACTTTTCAAAAGTTAACCGGAGGTCTCTATAGGTGGAAGAAACTATGTGTCTACACACATTCATATGTTACTTCCTTATCTAGTGTCTTGCCTTTAGAGGGGATTTCAAAAGACAAATGTGAAAATATGAGCACTAACATTTATACTCATGGTCTAAAATAAATTAGGGTAAGTCTGAAAGAAAAATGCTATAAGGAGGTCATATTTTTAAAAAGGTTACAGGAATTGTCCCTCTTCTGTTCAACCATTAACTTGGTTTTCATAGAGTTAGTAAGGCAACTCTCAATGTTTATTTTGGAAGGATTATAGGTATATTTTTTTAAAGAACGCACTGGAGGATAGGATGGTTGATGGTGAATCATAGTAAAGGTAAATGTTGTAACTGACAGAACTTGAATAGATTTTCTGATTCTACAAAACTGCCAGGCTAATCTGTCAATCAGGCTAATATGCCAGGCACAATGTCAACCAACAAATTTGTGGCAAGCTATGTACACATTGAGATATTTGGCTAATATGTCAATGAAAAGAAAGATGAAGCTGTCAGGGAACTCACGAGACATGAGGTATTGTTACAGCAGGGCCCGTCGCTGCAATGGGCCCCATTGGAGAGGGAGCATTTCTTACAGCACAATCCATAGCATTCCTAGAAAAAACACTTCACATAAGTAAGTGAGGAAACTTACCAGCGCTCATTCAACACTCTAGCCACATGCAGCTTAGGCATAATCCAGGTGAGGAGACTTATACAATAGTATGCAAATACTTTAGGAAAGAATTAATGGCTTCAAACAATGATAGATTCCTTCCTGCCATATTTCTCAGCAAAGCATGATCTTCTATAAAAGGACTCCTCTACAAAAAAGTCAGCTTATTTCTTAGCAGGCACCCGCCCTTGGTTAGCTCTATTATTCTTAATCCTCAATCTAGTTTTATAAAGACGAACAATAATACACAGCACAGGAAGAATGTTTCATGATTTGGTACAACTTGTCTGAGATGAATGTGAGTGGTGAATTTCTAAGAGGTAGGGAATTTGATTAGAAGAATCAACTAGGTTTTTTTCATACTGGGCCATAAGAACATTATTAATTCTAATGCGTCTGAGCTGGGATAAAGCCCTGATGAGAGAGATCAGAAAGAAAGGCGGTAAGACCACAACGGATGATAGTGTAGCCTTCTCGCTAATGCTATTCCTGTTTGCTCTGGGGAGGAGCTGTGCTGAAGGTAGAAAAGATCTCTTATACCTACCACATGGAAGCCACAGTCACATTCCTCCCCAGCTTCAACATATCCATTCCCACATTCCGTGGGCTCAAACAGCTGAAAGAGATTAGGGAGAGAAAGGAAAGACATTTTAATTTATCACAGAAAATCAACATACCAATCGGGCCATATACATGGCCCCTTAATCAACATGTGATATTCTGCGATCTGTTGTTATGGCATCGTATAAATGATGTCTGTGTGGGAAAGACTGTTCACTTATTAATAACACTTCTAAAAACCATCTTTTAAATGGGGTAATATCTCTTGGAGGATTCTCTAGTGGTGGGCTCCAGATGACCTCCACCATTAAAGTTACTTTTTATGGAGATACGCTGTCAAGAGGAATAGATCACTTTTCATATTTGCTAATAGAGCCAAGATGCATTGCTAATAAGACTCACATATCTCGTTTGCTAATTTATCTAAAAGGAGGTGAGAAGACATCAAAATTGTCAAAAAGATAAAAGTGCTTCCGTCAGAGCCAAATGTGATACATACAATCAAACGCAGATAAATTCAGAAAAAAATGTGGCTGGAAATCCACTCTCATCATTCTCACTGAAAGGAAATCCACACTGCCTGAAGCATACTAAGTACATGTGCAGACATACGCACAGATGGACAGAAAGCTCTCAGTCATTCCTGGAGCAATGGGAGAGTCAAATTTCTACAATACCTTACTGGTGCTATAAGCTTGCTTGCCAGATAATCTCTATTGAAACCAATTGTGAAGGCAGTTGATTAGTTTATGAGAACCATTCAGATTTCCCAGCACCTGGGGCAAGATGTCTCTGTGCACGTCTACAACACGTAGGTGAAGACTGAAACAGCACATTCCAACCCAAATGCTCAGAGCCATGAGTATGAGAGGGAGAGACTCCTTACCAGCAGCAACACACTCAAGGAAGGATTGGCTGATTTCCACTGAGTCCACCTCACAAAGACCTGATCCTCCTTCCATTTCCAGGAAGGGAAAACTATTATAAGAAGTAAGGAAGGTTTACAGGATACTTGGGTGGGACTCCTCTGTGGGAAAGTCCAATGAATGAAATCCCAATGTCTGCAGTATTTTGATCAGCAATGAGAAAATAGAGAAGGAAAGGGCAGACTGGAGCATAACTAAGGCTTTACATCAGGTCCCCCATGCAACCAACTGTTACATTTCATTCTTAGGACTCTTGCATCTTGACACAGGTCACTGTCACAACCCAGATGGAAAATATGGCTGTTGGGAAGGTTTGTTTCCCCAGGACAGAAAAGATGCATAAAGACCGTGTAAAAACACGTAAAACATGCATACATACATTCATTGACTGAAAACACTTGAAAAAAGTCAGTTCTTTGATACATACATATAAACTCTTCCTCTGGACTCCACAGATGCTTTTTTAAAAAACCATGCTAATATGCAGAATGATGGGTTCTTAACGTATACACTAGAAACCCTAACCTTTCCAAACAAGTCAATGTTGTTTCCTCAGGTGTGATGCTTATAATTAGCTGGTGAGCTGCAAGGCAGGTAAAATTAGCTGTGTACACTGTAATTCAAAAATACGAGTGGATCACATTAATTCATTATTACTCATTTCATCCATTTTAAACACTCTGAAGCTTTCAGATTTCTGTTGCATTGAGATGAATGTCATAAAAGGCAGGCAGCCAAATTTAACAATGCAAGATCACTTTAAAATTCCTGTTTCTTTTTCTGCAGCCTTACTGAGATTTTATACAAATCTCAGGCATCAAACTACCGACCCTGACTATAACAGTATCACTTAATTATGATTATGGGGATAGGAATAAAGTATTCTGTCAGTTATCTACATTAGTCACTTAAAAAAAAAAAAGGCCAACATGACTTCACTGCTTTCTCAATTTGCAGAGTATTAAACATTTTGTATAGCAATAGGCTATTTTTGACCCATGAAGTAGTATTTTAAAAGAAAATATGAAATGTGCAATGTTAGAATTTCTATACCATCTGCTAATTAGCATCGACCCTGTCTTTTTGCCTGTTGAGCAACTCTTCCAAACATCCTACTATAGGTCCGCAGTCCCTAATCCAAACGCTTTATGGCTGGTGAATTTGAGAATTCTGGCTTTTTTGGAATTTAGAAAAGTATGATGCATTTTCCATGCTCTGCTTAACAGCCCTGAGGGGCCTGGTGCACACCCTATAGTCAAACACATTAATATTTCTGCAGTAAGACTTATGAATATTTACACTGCGAGGAATAAAGATTTTCAGTTCAGGACAAGTTTCACTGTCCAATGTGTTTTCTGAAAACTCATAAAAAACACTTCCAATTTTCAGCACTTTTTGAATGAAGGAACTTGTGGATAAGGGATTGTAACATACATATATATATATATATATATATATATATATATATATATGAACATATATATATAGTCAATTGACAACACGGACTTTCCAAAGTAAAGAGACTGTTTAATATAAATTCACATATGTATCCCCTTCCCCAATCCCCCAGCACTGTTCCCATNGCTTCAAGCTCCCACCCCATCATTTTCTTCACATCGCCTTAGTTGACGCTTAGCGCTCACCACCATCTGATATTTTTGTTCACTGATTTCCATTTCTCCACCGAGTGGCATGTTAAGTTCACGGAGAGCAAGGATTTATCCACCTTGATCCCTGCTGTATCCCAACATCCACAGCAGTGCCTGACATATAGGAGGGGCTCAACGAAGGTTCATTTGAAGGACAAACAGACTTAGAATAACAGGATATAAACGTTTAAAGCATAAGAAGTATATAAAGAAGGAATGCGAGAAGGCAACATTAATTATAATTAATGTTATAATTTTAATGTGAGGAACATCACACCAAAGCGTATGGGCCCTGGAGCCAGGGCTGTGTACGTGGGAGGGGGGTGGCGACAGCTGAAAAAGGACTTGTGCTCCCAGTCCCACTTCAACCAGAGCAGTCCTACTTGTTCCCTGCTTGCTACACTGGGCTCCCACCCAAAATTTTGTTAAAAGAAAGGGTTTTGTGGCTTTACATTGTTTGAAAACAGTACATTAGTGCTTCATCAGTGTTTTAGATGCGGGGACCAGGAAAGAAAAATCAATCGGTTGGGAATAAACCATATGAAGGGAACTAATTGTGAAAAGGAAACATGGAAGGAAAAAGAGATTTCGGTACAAAAAAATATAGCAAACGTTTTTAAAGGCAAGGCAGAGAGCTAGAAATTACTACAAAACAAAACAAACCAAAAACCAAAGGCACCAAAGTATAGTCACACATGTAATCCAAATTGAAAGCTTTAAAATGTGTATTTACAAGTAAAACATATTACCTAGAACTGAGTTTGCCATACCTGGCCAGAGTCCCCAGTACAGTATTCCGTAATATCGCACCCATTCACGGCATCCCGACAATCATACCCTCGTGGCTGAAACTGCAAATGAAAATCCAATATTAGGAGCCAGTATTCATTTAAGCTTCAAAGAGTTAGCATTCTTATATTCACCAACAATTATGATACTCTCTCATAACCATCACCAAACTCTTCTTATGAATTAGCAAAATAGTTGCAGAATAGAGACAAAGCCAGAAACCACTCTCTGGAGTAAATATGAATAATTAACCAAGGCAGTAAATTTTTAGATTTTAAAATCCACTGTCTCAAAGTATTATTTTTAGAAAAGAATGTGATAGCAATTATATAAATAAAAAGCAATGTTATGGCTTAAGACTAAAGAGCAAAACACGAAAATATAAACATTTAAGATCTTCCTAAAGATTGATGTACACACCCAGTGCTCACAAATTCACTCATGAGCTTGGATATTAATCTTGCTTTAGCTAAATATACACTATCAAATTTCAATGGTTCCCTTCAGCAACACCAGTGAATGCCTACCGTATACAAGGCATTTTGCTTGTCTGGGTGGGGATGGGTAAGAGAAGAAACCCATGTAAAGAGCCCATTACATTCTCAAGCAATTTATAATCCGGTAAGGATAACAAGGTGACTATAAACTAAGCTAGAATCTTCTAGAATACCATAATGCATAATACTTATTGGTATTGCATAAAATAATCAAATCATGTGATTTTGTAGTTTAAAGGAATATTAGAGGTTTTATAGATGAGAAAAGGGAAGGTTTAAATCATGACTTTTCAAAAGTTAACCGGAGGTCTCTATAGGTGGAAGAAACTATGTGTCTACACACATTCATATGTTACTTCCTTATCTAGTGTCTTGCCTTTAGAGGGGATTTCAAAAGACAAATGTGAAAATATGAGCACTAACATTTATACTCATGGTCTAAAATAAATTAGGGTAAGTCTGAAAGAAAAATGCTATAAGGAGGTCATATTTTTAAAAAGGTTACAGGAATTGTCCCTCTTCTGTTCAACCATTAACTTGGTTTTCATAGAGTTAGTAAGGCAACTCTCAATGTTTATTTTGGAAGGATTATAGGTATATTTTTTTAAAGAACGCACTGGAGGATAGGATGGTTGATGGTGAATCATAGTAAAGGTAAATGTTGTAACTGACAGAACTTGAATAGATTTTCTGATTCTACAAAACTGCCAGGCTAATCTGTCAATCAGGCTAATATGCCAGGCACAATGTCAACCAACAAATTTGTGGCAAGCTATGTACACATTGAGATATTTGGCTAATATGTCAATGAAAAGAAAGATGAAGCTGTCAGGGAACTCACGAGACATGAGGTATTGTTACAGCAGGGCCCGTCGCTGCAATGGGCCCCATTGGAGAGGGAGCATTTCTTACAGCACAATCCATAGCATTCCTAGAAAAAACACTTCACATAAGTAAGTGAGGAAACTTACCAGCGCTCATTCAACACTCTAGCCACATGCAGCTTAGGCATAATCCAGGTGAGGAGACTTATACAATAGTATGCAAATACTTTAGGAAAGAATTAATGGCTTCAAACAATGATAGATTCCTTCCTGCCATATTTCTCAGCAAAGCATGATCTTCTATAAAAGGACTCCTCTACAAAAAAGTCAGCTTATTTCTTAGCAGGCACCCGCCCTTGGTTAGCTCTATTATTCTTAATCCTCAATCTAGTTTTATAAAGACGAACAATAATACACAGCACAGGAAGAATGTTTCATGATTTGGTACAACTTGTCTGAGATGAATGTGAGTGGTGAATTTCTAAGAGGTAGGGAATTTGATTAGAAGAATCAACTAGGTTTTTTTCATACTGGGCCATAAGAACATTATTAATTCTAATGCGTCTGAGCTGGGATAAAGCCCTGATGAGAGAGATCAGAAAGAAAGGCGGTAAGACCACAACGGATGATAGTGTAGCCTTCTCGCTAATGCTATTCCTGTTTGCTCTGGGGAGGAGCTGTGCTGAAGGTAGAAAAGATCTCTTATACCTACCACATGGAAGCCACAGTCACATTCCTCCCCAGCTTCAACATATCCATTCCCACATTCCGTGGGCTCAAACAGCTGAAAGAGATTAGGGAGAGAAAGGAAAGACATTTTAATTTATCACAGAAAATCAACATACCAATCGGGCCATATACATGGCCCCTTAATCAACATGTGATATTCTGCGATCTGTTGTTATGGCATCGTATAAATGATGTCTGTGTGGGAAAGACTGTTCACTTATTAATAACACTTCTAAAAACCATCTTTTAAATGGGGTAATATCTCTTGGAGGATTCTCTAGTGGTGGGCTCCAGATGACCTCCACCATTAAAGTTACTTTTTATGGAGATACGCTGTCAAGAGGAATAGATCACTTTTCATATTTGCTAATAGAGCCAAGATGCATTGCTAATAAGACTCACATATCTCGTTTGCTAATTTATCTAAAAGGAGGTGAGAAGACATCAAAATTGTCAAAAAGATAAAAGTGCTTCCGTCAGAGCCAAATGTGATACATACAATCAAACGCAGATAAATTCAGAAAAAAATGTGGCTGGAAATCCACTCTCATCATTCTCACTGAAAGGAAATCCACACTGCCTGAAGCATACTAAGTACATGTGCAGACATACGCACAGATGGACAGAAAGCTCTCAGTCATTCCTGGAGCAATGGGAGAGTCAAATTTCTACAATACCTTACTGGTGCTATAAGCTTGCTTGCCAGATAATCTCTATTGAAACCAATTGTGAAGGCAGTTGATTAGTTTATGAGAACCATTCAGATTTCCCAGCACCTGGGGCAAGATGTCTCTGTGCACGTCTACAACACGTAGGTGAAGACTGAAACAGCACATTCCAACCCAAATGCTCAGAGCCATGAGTATGAGAGGGAGAGACTCCTTACCAGCAGCAACACACTCAAGGAAGGATTGGCTGATTTCCACTGAGTCCACCTCACAAAGACCTGATCCTCCTTCCATTTCCAGGAAGGGAAAACTATTATAAGAAGTAAGGAAGGTTTACAGGATACTTGGGTGGGACTCCTCTGTGGGAAAGTCCAATGAATGAAATCCCAATGTCTGCAGTATTTTGATCAGCAATGAGAAAATAGAGAAGGAAAGGGCAGACTGGAGCATAACTAAGGCTTTACATCAGGTCCCCCATGCAACCAACTGTTACATTTCATTCTTAGGACTCTTGCATCTTGACACAGGTCACTGTCACAACCCAGATGGAAAATATGGCTGTTGGGAAGGTTTGTTTCCCCAGGACAGAAAAGATGCATAAAGACCGTGTAAAAACACGTAAAACATGCATACATACATTCATTGACTGAAAACACTTGAAAAAAGTCAGTTCTTTGATACATACATATAAACTCTTCCTCTGGACTCCACAGATGCTTTTTTAAAAAACCATGCTAATATGCAGAATGATGGGTTCTTAACGTATACACTAGAAACCCTAACCTTTCCAAACAAGTCAATGTTGTTTCCTCAGGTGTGATGCTTATAATTAGCTGGTGAGCTGCAAGGCAGGTAAAATTAGCTGTGTACACTGTAATTCAAAAATACGAGTGGATCACATTAATTCATTATTACTCATTTCATCCATTTTAAACACTCTGAAGCTTTCAGATTTCTGTTGCATTGAGATGAATGTCATAAAAGGCAGGCAGCCAAATTTAACAATGCAAGATCACTTTAAAATTCCTGTTTCTTTTTCTGCAGCCTTACTGAGATTTTATACAAATCTCAGGCATCAAACTACCGACCCTGACTATAACAGTATCACTTAATTATGATTATGGGGATAGGAATAAAGTATTCTGTCAGTTATCTACATTAGTCACTTAAAAAAAAAAAAGGCCAACATGACTTCACTGCTTTCTCAATTTGCAGAGTATTAAACATTTTGTATAGCAATAGGCTATTTTTGACCCATGAAGTAGTATTTTAAAAGAAAATATGAAATGTGCAATGTTAGAATTTCTATACCATCTGCTAATTAGCATCGACCCTGTCTTTTTGCCTGTTGAGCAACTCTTCCAAACATCCTACTATAGGTCCGCAGTCCCTAATCCAAACGCTTTATGGCTGGTGAATTTGAGAATTCTGGCTTTTTTGGAATTTAGAAAAGTATGATGCATTTTCCATGCTCTGCTTAACAGCCCTGAGGGGCCTGGTGCACACCCTATAGTCAAACACATTAATATTTCTGCAGTAAGACTTATGAATATTTACACTGCGAGGAATAAAGATTTTCAGTTCAGGACAAGTTTCACTGTCCAATGTGTTTTCTGAAAACTCATAAAAAACACTTCCAATTTTCAGCACTTTTTGAATGAAGGAACTTGTGGATAAGGGATATTTATATATATATATATATATATATATATATATATATATATATATATGAACTTTGATGAAATGTCAATTGACAACACGGACTTTCCAAAGTAAAGAGACTGTTTAATATAAATTCACATATGTATCCCCTTCCCCAATCCCCCAGCACTGTTCCCATCCCCCCAATTCCCCAATAAAAATCTAAAAAAAAAAAAATTCATATATGTAGTTGTGGGATCCATAAATACCTTGGGCCATTTTTTGACTAGCTAATATTAGTAATGCTTCCTATCTGGGAGAACAGACTACTCAAAAAAAGAAAGGAAGAAAAGAGAAGAGAAGAGAAGAGAGAAAAGAAAAACAAAGGAAAAAAAGAAAAAGAAAAAAATTAGTTACACCCCTAGAGACAATGTTAAGGGGAAATGGAATTCTTGTCAGAGAAATTGGTTGAGTAATATATCTTCATATAAGCCACTATCTCTTTGCAGCAGGGTGACAATACTAACGCGAAAATTTCAAAGATATTTTAAAGCATTGTTTGTTTTTTGAAGGGATGGTTTGGGAGGGGGAATACAGCTAGTACTAAAAACTAGATTCAGAACAGTGAAACTATGGTTTTTGCCATTCATTTCAAATAGGTCTCAGTCGCCAACATGATAAGCCTTTTATAGCTAAATATTAATCTGATTGACAACAAACCTGCTTTCCAAGACAAGTACCTGATATTTGGCACCATTCCATGGTAATAAATAAATAAATAAATAAATAATAAAACTGAGAAATAAGTACACTTTCTAAGTTACTAACCTTTGTCGGCCTGTTGAAAAGACAGGCTCCACCCCCTCTCTGTAAAAAGTCTCTATACTCCAAAATGCTGCACTTTGAGAACTTTCGGGAATGGGATACCCTGAGAAAACAAAGAATCAATTATGTAAATAACTTACCAAAAGCAGTCATCAGAAGAAAATTAAAACCCTGGAATTAGAACAAAATGTTCACTCTGGACCCAGATGATTCTACACAAATGTTGACAAGGCACTTATGTTCAAGTTGGCAAATAACTATGTGTGATTGAGATTGTAAAAGCAGAAATGCAAAGAAAAATCACAGATTTGGGGGCTACGTTACAGCCTCTTCAGCACTCAAGCCCTTTTGTTCCCAGGCTTGAATGTTTTTGAAAAGCTCATCACAGAACTTCTTCATCTAGGCTGTTTTTTAAAATGTGGTCATTTTTATTTGCTCTGCCTCAGAAAAGGCAAGCACTTTTTTGCCTGTCCTGAATAAAAGGAGCTTGGGAACCCATTAGATTTTATTTTGAGGAGGGGGTTGTTAGGGTCAATTTATTAAAGATTATAGAATACAAGCTTCAGCAAAACAATTCAGGTAAACAAGGAAACCCTAAAAATGTGTGTCGTGTGTGTGTGTGTGTGTGTGTGTGTGTGTGTGTGTGTGTGTGTGTGTGTGTGGTCAGTGTACCTTATTCTCAACTTCAAATATTATTGGGTGATATTCATGATTTAGTAGGGCTATAGTAAGAGCTTCTCTATGATTTACTTAATCAAATTTTTATCTCTGTCCATACATAGGGGAATATTAGACACACTGTCAAGATTAAACTACATCATACATATCTGTATAAACTACTCATACATGAGCATATTTGTAATAGTGCTTGATTTGAGGGTGAAAGGCCACTTACTCTAGAATGTGATCCAATAGTTGTATGTATCCTGGTGTATGAGGATAGTGTATGGAAGTAGGTAAAATCTGCCACTGTTGACAGTGATATCTCACAAGAACTATGCAAAAATGTATACTTGAGAAATTACATATTAACTTTATATAGTTTAATTATATCCTATGGGCAGTCAGTCCAAAAATCCATTTAGAAATTGGATGTTTAGAAGACAGAAGACACATCCCCACAGAACCAATATTATAAACGGTGTTACCTTCCTAAAGCAGTCTTCAAAAAAGGGTGTTTAAGGCATAATGTTACTAAACTATACTGCAATAGTAAGGGGACCATGAAATCTATCAGTTTCAGGTTTAGACTACATTTCTAGAAATAAGTGTCCTAAAGTGGTAGGCAAAATGGCTGACTCTCTTTGCAAACCCTCACGCTCACATCCCTGTTGTCACCATGAGCTGGACTCCTGGTGGAAGAACAAGAAAAGACTCTGTATAAGGGCTTCCGGCAACCGCAGCTCCCAGGGATGAGGGTAGGACCAGCAATGGTTGATGTGTTGAGCAGATGTCTGGCAAGGGCAAAGGAAGTAGGAGAGGCCTAGGGGTGAGGAAACCTCTCCTGTCTAGGAGAGGGCTTAGGCGGCTTTGGGCCAGTGGCTCCAAAGGGGCAGGTGTCCCTGGAAAAGAAGGCAATGTTTCCAGGCCTTGGTTCACAGAAGCAATGGCCACTCTAGGGCAGTTGCTCTAGTTCCCAAAGTATCCACAAAAGAAGAAAGGAGATAGGTGAGGAAATGTCCAAATGCCTATCGGTAGAAGACTACCTAATTTAGACCCAATAAATCTGTCTTAATAAAAAAAAATTATTGATTATACAAGCAGTATAGTACATTTTTTTTATTACAGCAACATGTCTATTTGTGAGTTCCTTAAAATATAAATTGATGACTGAATTGATTTTCACTGACTGCTTCAGGTAGACAACCAGCTTTTATTCTAAGTGTACTAAAAAATTAATGCCTCTACTAAACTTAGAAGCATTTAATAATGTGCTTCCTTTAAGGGTTAATAGAAGTAGTTACTATATTTTGCTTTTATCAACAACTTTAAATAAAAAATTAAAATATAAAGTGAATTCATCCTTTCATTTTTAAAATATCAGATAATTAGTTATTGAATTTATACTAAGTACTAAGCCTAAAAGACGAATACCTGAGAGACTGTGTATCTAATTATATGGAGCAATGTCAGCGAAAGGCATATATCAAATGCATGTATAATGAAAAATTACCCTGTTTCCTCCATGATGCAGCCACCCCAGTATTCTGTGCAGTCACATTCTAGTCCAAGGAAACAATAAAAGCAATAGAAAAAAAGGAAAACAACAAAAGTCACATCTTCAGTGTGCATTACAGCTCTTGAAATAATTCTTTATTAGCAATTCCATGTCAAATAGATAGAGAAGGTGAAGTCTCACAGGACAAAATCTATTTCCTTTAAATCGAGGGTTCTTTATCCTTTCCAGAACTATAGGAATTATATTCCTTGGCAAGAAATACAATTGTACGCCTCCTCATTCTTGTAAAATCAGAGAACTCAATTAAGTTCCTAGTTCCAATGTTTAATGAAAAGTATCCCGGTACAGAAATCAGTACCGAGTTCTAGTCAAGTTCTCCTTGATGAGAGAGTCCCATAGGGCAAGGACTTAGTATGTCTTGGGTCTCAGTGTTTCTACCTCTAAATTGGGGATTGAGTCTCTCTGTCTATCTCCCAGAGTGCTTCTAGGGCTTACACAAGGTGGTGCGCCCATGTGCTCTCTGCAGGCTGTAAAGGTCTATTGCACGAAAGCATTGAGCCATCATCAAAGCTCTGCTCACAGAGCACACTGAAAGTTAGAGAATTCAGTTTGCTAGGCTAGGCCAGAGACTTGAAGAACACCATGCTAACAGGTTTAGTAAAAAAGAGCAATCTATGTGTTTCCTTGGGAAAGCGAATATTCTGAGCAAGATATTAATAAATGGAAGTGGATATTTGCTAAATGCCACTAGACTTAATATACCCATAAAGGGAATCAAGAAGCCCGTGGATACATACTTTGTTTCAAGATTCCATAACATTATGTATTAATGACAATTGTTTTATAGTAGTCAAAAAGTATAAAATGTAGGATAATGATAAGGTAGATGTCTGTCCTTTTCTTCTTTAGGGAGGTGGGATGGGGACCTTTAATCCTAGCATCTGTCATTTTCTCAGGAGGAAGGAAACTTCCACGTAATCCCTAGTCAAGAGAATAATTTGAGTGATCACCTTGGTACCTCCACAAGACTGCAATATGTGAGTTCTAGGCACTTTTTGCTTTCTGCCACAAAAATGTATTAGAAATTATATTTTACTATTGTGTTGGTATAAAAAAGGAATATAACCCACATTGGACTTTATTCTGATTTTAAAATAAGCTATAAATTTTAATGGACCCCTAAAATTATTGCCTTAGACAGTTTGCCACTAGAAACTGAGCCCTGTCTTTCCATCTACCTCTCATCTGATTAACGAAGAGAATGACACGTCACAGTCACTGGTTGCAATTGTCCTACTGGATGGGACCTGTGGTCCTATTTGTACACCCTCTTGGCCCTGCCCACCCACTAAAAGAAAGTGCTATCCTCTACTACCTCTCCCATGCTTAAAAGGCCCGGGGGCAGTGCCTGCCGATAGGGGACCTTCTCTAACATTTCTGGTGGGATAAATGGATGAGTGAAATTAGAGGTAGGGAGGTGGGTAAGTTTAGAGTTGGAGCTCCTCTTTGACTCTAGGTCTAAGCTATTTTCTGCTCCAACTTGGGCTCATTAAACTTGTAAAGGAGCCTCACTGGCTCCTTGTGTCTATACTCAAGTGGCTGAAACCCAGAGGGTGAATACGCACCACCCCAACACTGCCGTATGAGAAAGCTGACCACGATCTGAGAAAATCAGTATGATTTTAGGGATGTTGTTCAAGGGACATTTCTTCAACCCAAACAAATTAAGAATTACCTTAAATTGCTCATTTTATCATTTTTTAGAGGAAGGAGGCATACTGCAATTAAAATATAATGACTTAGAAATGACAAATCTGTATTTATGGACTGGACATGCATTATACAGACAGAATGGTACATGAAAGTGAGCAAGTAGGTCAGTGTACATACTTGGCTTTCTGCTAGAAGGTTCCCATTGGATTCCAAGGTTTTGAGCCAGGCTCTGCGATAATACTTGTGCCACTGCCATTGGAAGACCATACTGTTTTTCAGAGTTGAAAGTGTGTGGGAAACATTTGAGAGAGTGCACAGAGCTAGTTATTATTTCTTAATCATTACACATATCATCTCAGTTCCCTAAGTAGAGCCTCAGCATCAAAAAGTGGCATATGTTTTTTTATCCTTTCTTCCTTGCAACTGGGCCCAAGAAGCAGAAAGCCTCTCTTACTATGTGGCATGTCTCAGAACTTGATACTCTCACATGGAAACATAACATACAAGTCAAAAGGCTGTGCCTCAATTCAACTCATACCAAACCAAGAATAACTTCAACGTACTACAAATATGTCAAAAGAGGTCTCCGCTGAAAGATTGTTATGGGGATAACCTGGCATATTCTGGTATTGATCAGGATTTAGATACAAATGGTTCGGCTTTTTGGGTGCTGGTATCGAAATCTAAACAATAAGATTAAGGAAATAATTGCTTCAATTAATTCTACAGATAGGTAGGTAGAAGGCATAAAAATTTTTAAAAATTTACACAAGGAGATACTGATTAGATACAATCACAAACTCTTGGACATAAATGAGTTAAACCTTACATGGGCAAAAGAGCATAAAAACTTTAAAAAAATTAATAAGCTTATGAAAACATCTATGGAGGCTAAAAAAATGTCTACGCTAATCTTTGGCTTGCATTTGCCTGATAAATATGACAACTATCATTATAAAATAAAACAATACCTCTTTCCTAACACCAAAGATCACTCTGAGCTCTACTTCTTAATATAAACCACTCATACTATATTCTCAATGTCGTTATCATCCTAAAAAAGCCTGATAAGGGATGTAACTGGGGCATAGGAAGAAAAGACATCAGTCAGATGCAAAGATAAAGTCCTACTTTAAGAAAATTAACCAAATTTACCTCATTTACACCAACTCCCCTTGTGCGAGAACAGACACCTCCAAAGTAGCTCAGACTGCTTCGCTTGTAGTGGAATGTCACACGCCTTAAAAAAAAAAAAAGTTCTTAGGAAAATACCATTACATAAGTTTACCAAAAACGTGTCTACCCTCCTACACTGAACACCCGAAACAAATCCTCCTTCAAAAAAATCAAAAACTATTTTAAACACATTTAACTTTATGTTGTCATAAAAATGTTTAAAATTATGTTATGTAAATAATCTCAGTTGAGCAAACATTCATTGAGCACCTCCTCAGCATCATGTACTAGCACAGGAATTGAGAACACAGATAAACAGACCACAGCCCTTGACTTTTTTCCAGTAGAGACTATCCAGTCGTTACACAAAATATTGCTGATTATTATCAATTGCTGATTAAAGACTGAGAGAAAAAGAAAGTAAAGAGGAAAGGCGAGAGGAAAGGAAGGAAACTTTAGGTGGTTTGATTCCAGCACAGAACCTTAAAGAACTGTCTGAAAACAGTTCTGCTATAAGTAGGAAACGGAGCATCTATTATACAAAAAAAAAAAAGTACATATACAGATATAGATATAGATATAGATATAGATATATAGATATATATCTCAAAACTGTTATAGCAAAACATATATATATATAAAACATAATAAAATATTTTATGTATATATTTTATATAGTATATATATCACTCCTTTTCCTTAGTGATAGAACTTCAATTTTATTTAAAAATTCACCTCAAAATACTATATTTCCTAGCCTCCCTTGCAGCTCAGCATGGCCATGTGACTAAGATTTAGCAAATGATTTGTTAGTGAAACTGATATGTGCAAGCTTTCAGGGAATCTGCTTTAAAAAAGCTAACTCAGCTGGAAGGGGTGCCCTTTTGCAGGCCTCCAAGACCACCATTCCTGTTGCCTGAAAGAAGGCTGGAGCACCAGCAGCCATCTTGAATCATGAGTTGACCTTGTGGATGGAAGGTGTGAGATTAAGGATGTGCTCTGAATGTAGATCTAATGACCGTGGAACCACCATCCCAGCACCAGACAACCTACCTCCGTGCTTCGTATATAACAGAGAGGAATCAACATCAATCTTCTTCAAAACCAATATATTGAATATAACTTAACTGATCCAATACAGGGATAAAGATAAATGTCAAAGCGACGACTTCGGGTACATACGAGATGAGGTGCACAGCATCAGCATGCTGCTTGATGCGCTGCCGGTATTTGGAGAATTCATGGAGCATCTGCACAGGGTTGGTGGTGATGTCAATATGATCCTTCTCAGTCCAGGTCTCTACAGCTACCAGAACAACCCTGGTATTGAGCTGCTCCTTGTAAATCTGAGGGTATACAACAGGACAGGTGTAGGAGGAAAACACTGGGTCAAACATGCACAATCAGTGATTCAGAGTCAGTGGAAGGACAGGAGGGGAGGTGAGAGGAGAACACGAGGTCATAATTAGCTCATCATAAAGAATCTTCTTTTCCTTTCTCTTTTCCAAGAGCAAAAATTAAGAAAGAACAATCATGCAATTCGGCCTCTCCTACAAGATTATGTCAATCTCAAATCAGCACATTTAGTGACCAGGCATCTCACTAGGGGATAGATAAATAGGGATGTCAAGATTTTAAAGTCTGGACATAAATGTAAAATAGGGTTCAGTAAAGAAACCCTCCAAACCTCAGAGGAAGTAACAGTTTGGAGCCCGATTATACCTGCTCTGAGTGCTGCAGTACAACCAACGATTCCTGCGTGATCGGAATGGGTCACTAAATCCTTGGACAAGCACCAACACCATGGCTAGCTTGCCCTTGGAAGCCGTGTTATATGAAAAGTAAAATAACGGTGGGAGAAAATCAAGGCTTTGAGGCCAGAAGAGGGAAGGGCAGATTTATATCACCTTTGCCACCCTCAACACAGGGTGGTATCACTCACAACATTTAAATTGTACCTTCCTGTTCTCTTTACTTTGGGCTCAGCAGCTAAATAATTCACACAATTAAGCAATTTCCATGAATGTTGCCATTCTGTCCTATTTTCAAACTAATTAAGAAAATAATGGCTGACCTTTGAACATACTGAAGAAAGGGACTACCAGCATGCCTAAATCAGCCTGAAGTGATAATGATTTTACAAGGAGGGAGTTAAATGTAGTCTTTTAAAAATTAGCTGGTCAGCTTCAGAACCTTGTACGGTAACCCAAAATAAAAATCACACTTTGTAAGATGCGGTTCTGTTCAATCATGTTAAAATGAATAACACAGAGATGCTGCCAAGTGAACAGCTTTGGCAGCGGGAAAGGTGTTTAATATTTTCATTTCTATATTCACATAATTTTTCTCTGAGAAGACGGATAAGAGCTGAAATTAAAGAAAATCAATAAACCAGGTATAAATTGGTTTTCAGAATTTCAATCCTAATTCCATATGCTATTCTAGACCCATCCATCCATATTATACTTCTGCTTAGCTGTGCCTACTGGGCGTTATGTTATGAGTATTTATATGACTGGAGGTTTGAGGACTGTTTAAAAGACAGAGAAGAAGACAGTTCTTTGGAGAAAATAAGTATCATTTAGATATTTGGCAATTTATAAAAAGTTCCCCCCTCCCCCCAGTTAAGAGGGATCATACACTAAATATCAGATAAAAATATATTCATCTGAACAAAACAGTACTTTACATTAAAATACACAAAGCAGTGTGCTATATTTATGTCTAATCGAACTGAACTATTATTTATTGGCGCATAATGAATAGTATTCACATCTTTGTCGTTCCTAACTAAAGGAGGAAAAAGGAAGAAAATTTTAACCATCATTCTCTCTCATTTACAAATCAAGAAGAAAAATTATCAGTATGAAAGATTTGTAGTGTCAGAAGTCTTTGTAAGGAAATATGTACTTTACTGTCTCAAAATAATTTTATTTGGGAATTACACATAATCCTGTCATCTAGAAATAAAGTCCGAAGGATTCCTCTAAGGGGAACACTAAGAAGATAAATTTGGGTTGTTTTTGTTTTGTTTTGTTTAATTTTTGTATTTCCTATATCTTTCAAACATAATCCACCTCAATCCATTAGTTCTTCTGCCATATATTTAAGACAATAAGCTCAACTGATTATTATTAACAAAATCTCATTTGCCAACTTTAATTTACACTGTTCTTAAGGCTAATTTTATCCAGCATTTTTGTTCTCCATAGGCCCTAGTGACAGTGAGGTCTAGACATCACTTAAAAGCAACTCGAATGCATCTTTGGAATTCCAAGAATAACAACAGTCCCCTGAAACTCTTATACTACTCTTTGTAAAGCAGACCACTCCATAATTTCTTAGCCAGATGATTTTAAGGATGGCATTTTTAGTTTTGCCCAAGAAAGAATTAAAGTATCAAGTAAGCACACGGAGATATAAACTGCTCCATTTTGGGAAAACAGGTTCGTGAAAACTGGGATACTTACAGAATCCACAAGGTTGACCACAGACTTTGCGAAGTTGTTGGTGTGTGCATGAGAAGAGCGATACTTCTTGTACTGAGGAAGAAAAAAGATATACCAGTCACTGCCAATTTATAATTTAATGGTAAATTTCAAAATTCTGTAAAAGCAGAAACCTCATAGTAGAAATGGGGATTAAAAATACAGAATATAATTTCTGCCATGTTGGATATGATCTTGTCCTTCTTTTATTTCTGTGTTAGGCAGAAACACCCATAATGTTCTGGGTAATGGAGAGGGCCTGTGGAAATCTGTGTGAGACCCTTTACACCTAAGAAGTAAGCTGCTATTTCATTCTTAATGTCTACAAATGCAATCCTTTCGTTTTCAATTAAATAATCTTTTCCAGCCTTAGCTGAAGAAATGTAGTCCCTGTTGGGCCAGCTGAGTGGCTCTGTTGGTTAAGAGCTCGTTCAAGAGTGCGGGCTCTGAGCAACAGGGTTGCTGGTTTTATTCCCGGCCCAAGCTGAGCTGCTGCTGAGCTGCCAACAGGTGGCAGGATGGCTCAGCTAAATAAAAAAAAAAAAAAAAAAAAAGAAATACAGTGCCAACTGGACACCCTCCTCGCTTTAAACTCAAGGTCATACACAGATCAAGAACATTTCTTTGGTAGCACTTATGTACAGTCCATGATATGGAATCCATTTGTTGTACATTTTAGTATACTCTTTCAGAAGAATGCCTCCTCCCAACGAAGCCTTTCACTTTTGACTGCTCAAAGTTAGAACAAAGAAGAGACAAAAAGTAAAAATGACGTGTGCTGATAGCATTTGATTGTTTATGGTTATTTATGAATATTTAAGAAAATAAAGAAAAGTAAATTAATAGAATAACTTTCATAAAATAATTAAATAGCAACATCTGAACGCTGTATAATTTTTTATCAAATAATTACATAGCAACATCTGAAGTGCTACAGTTTTAGCAAGGAGTACTTTGCATAATACGGCTTTGAGAGAACATTTGAAAACAAAAAAGTCTACCACAGGGGGGATCATGCCCTCTCCTGAGAAAAAAGAAAAACATTCCCAAACTACCAAATCAGATTTGCACCACCATAAGTCTTTAAACTTAATGAATGCTACTAAAAACATGAATGCTACTATGAACAATACTAATTCATTGCTCATTTATTGTGGGTTTTCAGTACAATAAACCGTATTGTGTTTTAGTAACATTCATTAATTTATAACTATTTATATTTATGCTATCTGCTATAGTGTGTCCCCCAAAATTCATATGTTGAAATCCTAACTGCCAAAATTATGATATTAGGAGGTGGAACCTTTGGGAGGTGCTTAGGTCATGAGGGTAGAGCCCTCATCAATGGTATTAATGACTAATAAAAGAGGTTCTAGAGAGGAAGTGGGGTGGTTGATGAGGGCAAACAGGATCAAATATATTGTGACAGAAGGAGAACTGACTCTGGCTGGTGAACACACAATGTGATATATAGATGATATATTACAGAATTGCACACCTGAAACCTATGTAACTTTACTAACAACTGTCAACCCAATAAACTTTAATTACAAAAAAAAAAAAGAGAGAGAGAGAGAGGCTCTAGAGATTCCTAGCCCCTTCCACTATGTGATGACACAGTGAGACATTTTAACAGGTTTTTTTTAATAAGCATAAAGATGCTATAAATAGCTCCGCATTCTGAGTTGCCTAGCAAATTGCTGAAGCTGAAAAACTTGATAGATATCTTTAAAAGTAAAAACAAAAGTCTCAACATTGCCTCTTTGAGGTGGTGAAAATGTTTTGGAACTAGACAGATGTAATGATTTACCACTTGGTACAGGTACTAAATGCCATTGAATTATACATGTAAAAAACAGAAGTCTTGACACTAAAAAGCACACATCACAAAAAGAAAGGAAAACATGAATTTTATTTTGTTTCTGAAAATTACTTTGTCTTTTTTGGATACTTCTCTTTATAGTATAATGATCATGGAAAATACACAAGTTTTAAAAATGAGTTCTAGTGGGCCAGCTGAGTGGCGCAATGGTTAAGAACTGGCTTGGGACGCCAGAGGGCCCCGGTTCGGATCCCACATATGAGGGCCAGTGACACTGCCCTCCACAGCTAAGATGCTGAACAACAGCTCAACCTGGAGCTGGGCTGCCATGAGTCGCCGGCGACGGCGTAGGCTGCAGCCCCTGTGGCAGTGGGTTGCCATGGGCTACCGTATGTAGCCAGCAGCCAGCGTGAGCGGCCAGCAGCCGCAGTGAGCGGCCGTCCAGAAGCCGGCGACTGATCTGCCTCGCCTGGGAACAGCGCAATGATGGTGCCAGCTTGGGCCAGTGAAGCAACGTCCTCCACAACTAGATTGAAGAAAAAAAACGACAGCAACTTGTCTGTTCCCCTTCCCCCAATTCCCCAGCACTGTTCCCATCCCCCCAATTCCCCAATAAAAATCTTTAAAAAAAAATGAGTTCTAAAAATCTATCAAAATGTGGTAAGTTTTTCATTTATTTCATATTTATAATTTCCAAGTCTCTGATTTTCTTTTTAGAAAGATCACTCTGCTTGCTGTGAGGCGAGTGAATTAAAGAGGTTCAAGAATGGAAACAGAGAAACCTGTTGGGAAGCTACTGCAATAATCCAGGTAAAAGATAACAAAAGCTGGGCATCTGTGTAGGCTGCAGAAGGTGAGCAAAGACAAGAATAAAAGATGGCTCCTAGGTTTTGAACCTGAATAGCTGCGGGGGATGGTGGTGCCACTGGAAATAATTAGAAAGACTAAGAGAAGTTTGGACCCAGGAACCAAGAGTTCTGCTTAGAAATGGTAAGTGTGAGATAACCTATTCAATATTGAAGTACGGATGTCAAGTAGGCAGGTGAATATATAAATATGGAACTCAGAAGGTTAGAGGTATAAAGTAGAAAATGATGAATTTAAAGTCACAACATTATTTGAAGACTTGAGAGTGAAAGTGGCCACTTTGGGGGTGGAGAGGGTTATAGAAAGAAAAGAGAACCCCAAACCAAGCTGTGGGACACTCCCATAATTCTAGAGGCTGGGTGTAAAAGACTAGGAAGAAATAGCCAGTGAGGTGGGGAAGCTGTTGTGTCATAGAAGCGGAGAAATGAAGAAACTGTTCGGGCCGGCCGAGTGGCTCAGTTGGTTAAGAGTTGGTTTAAGAGCGTGAGCTCTGAGCAACAGGGCTGCCGGTTCGATTCCCACATGGGCCAGTGACACTGCGCCTGAGCTGAGCTGTTGCTGAGCTGCCAACAGGTGGCAGGATGGCTCAGCTGGTGTAACAACAAGATTGCCTGTTTGATTGTGGGCTATGCATCTCCCCCCTCCCCCGGCAACTAAGACTGAAGTCAGCACCTTGAGCTGAGCTGCTGCCCAGATGGCTCAGTGGATAGAGCGTGCACTCTTAACAACAAGGCTGCTGGTTCGACTCCCGCATTGGATGGTGGCTACGCCCACCTGTAACTAAGATTGAACACAGCACCTTAGAGCTTAGAGGCTGCAAAAGGAAAGCCAGATGGCGACTGGCGCCCTCCACAACGAAGATTGAAGTTCAACAACTTGGCTGGTCCCCTTCCCCAATTCCCCAATAAAATCTAAAAAAAGAAAACGTTTCAAATAGGAGAGAGTCATCAACTGTGTCCAGTGCTGCCGAGAGAGCAAGTAAGATAAGGACAGTGGCCACTAGACTTGTTCACCTGAAGCTCCGTTTAACTGAGCATTTACTAGGATCTGCAGTAAGTGTTTCTCTTACAATAAGTGTTTGCTCCTCACAACTCAGTGAGGTGGGTTTTATTATCCCCATTTTACAAATGTGGAAAGTGAGCCTCAGGGAGGACAAATAAAGTTCTCCAAGATCACACAGCCAGAATTCAGTGCCTACTCTGGGTGGAGACAGGATATAAACTTCTTTGGTTCACAATTCTTATAAAATAGTTTATGTAGATTCCTAATGAATCATGAAAATTAATGAGAATTCATAACTCCTTAGGTACCTATGTATAAAACATAATGTTTTTTTAAATAAGGAAAACCAAATGAGGTTTAAACTGAAAAATACTTGTGTTATTACATTTGAACTTGCTGAGTTACACGTAAGGATATAGCAAAAATTTAAGCAAAACATTTGTACTTAAAGTATTTCATGTACTTAAAGTATTTCAACCATTTTTCTATTAGATGAAGTTTTAAATATTTTAGTTAGCTTAAGTGGATCAAAGGAATGTTTGCATAACGTTATCAAGACAATAACTAGCTCACAATTTAGGTTCCATCAGCCAGCTACTAAGATACTTTCTAAAAAATTAAGGGATTTTTTTTTTTTTGTCTAATTGAAAGCCCTAATATGCTGCTTGTTCAAAGTAAGGTATCTGCATTTTTTCAGTAAGCTAATATTAAATTACTCTGAATTAAAGAGGTAATCTTCTGGGCTGGCCGAGTGACGCGATGGTTAAGAACTGGCTTGGGATGCCAGAGGGCCCCAGTTCGGATCCCATATATGAGGGCCAGTGACACTGCCCTCCACAGCTAACATGCTGAACAACAGCTCAACCTGGAGCTGGGCTGCCGTGAGTTGCCGGCGACGGCATAGGCTGCAGCCCCTGCTGCAGTGGGTTGCCATGGGCTACCGTGTGTAGCCAGCAGCCAGCGTGAGCAGCCAGCAGCTGCAGTGAGCGGCCATCCAGAAGCCGGCGACTGATCTGCCTCACCCGGGAAGGGCGCAATGATGGTGCCAACTTGGGCCAGTGAAGCAACGTCCTCCACAACTAGATTGAAGAACAAAACGACAGCAAATTGTCTCTTTCCCTTCCCCCAATTCCCCAGCACTGTTCCCATCCCCTCAATTCCCCAATAAAAATCTTTAAAAAAAAATAAAGAGGTAATCTTCAATGTAAATGTAGGGAATTATTTCTATTTCCTACATGAGTGAGAATTTTGCATACAAAGAAAAATGTGCAATCTCCATTTATGATCAAACTTATTTTCACATATTCTGGTCACTAAAAATAATTTACATTTAAAGTGCCAAATTTGTGTTTCCTTCCTAAACAAATACAATCCTTAATAAATTTGTTTTCTGAAAAAAATTAAAATCAGAGACTGATTTTCAATTCAAGGGATATTATTATCAAAATAACTGTACTGCCTCATCTAGCACAAAGACTGTAAGATAAGTAAGTATTCTCAGTGGGATGATTATTCTAAAATCCAATAGCAAATCTCCAGATATTAAAAAACAGATGTTAATTATTCTAGTTCAACTTTACTTTCAACATGTGAATTTAAGTACTTTATTCATGTTCTGATTTACTTCTTTGTGCCAATCAAATTTTGAAACTATCTTCATCTCACATAAAGCACACTTTTAAAAAGAACTTTTCTCAACTCTCAAAAGGAAAAAACACTCTTATAAAATGACATACTTATTTGGGATTACTATGGACTAGGATATAACCTGGTCTTAAAGCAAAAGGAATATATTTAGTTCTATTACCATAGATGTAATATTTCTTTTAATAGTAGACATCTTCTTAGGTAACTTCTACTTTAACCATTATTACTACTCAATAATGAAAGCTTTCTTTTTCTTTTCCTTTTTCTTTTTTTCCATTTCTTAACATGTATTCTCTCAAAATTTATCAGTGAAAAGTACGGTTCTTTTTTCTAGTTTCAAACATAGATGAACATATCATGCTTAGTTCTCATTCACTTTAATAATAATAATAATAATAATAATAATAATAAATTACCAAGATTTACCATTAAAACATTTGGTAGCCTAAATAAGGTAACTTTATCACAGAATATATGGTATAACATGTAGAAATTTTCCATGTATGAAAATAATATTTTAAAAGAGGGTGCCACTATATTATTCATAAGATAAAGACAAGATTACTTAAATGCTTTCCATTTAAAAGGATTAAAAATAAATTTAAAATACATAACATATAAAAAAATGATCAAGTTTCCTATTGAACAGTTACTGAGATCTGCTCACTGACTGATACCTTCAGGCCCTTCCAAATAAGAGTATGAAGGAACAAGAAATTTGGAATTATAAGTCATGGGTTGGAGAATTGTTCTAATCAATTACCAGCTATATGTGAATACACTTTGTGAATTTAAGGGCATTATATATATCTTAATTTTTATTTCCATCACTTTAAAAGTATTTGCATAATGGATATTGGGAAAAGCTTAGGCTTCTATAGGCATATTCCACAACATACCACAATGCTAAGGACTGAGAAGTAGCTGAAAATAATCTCAATGTCCCAAAAATAATTCAGATGAAAAAATTATCTTGGGCTTTCAAGCAAATTAATGTCCTTCAGAAACACATATTTTAGCCTTCATTATCTAAAATGTCTGCCTAGACCTTTGGTTTCTCTTCCTACCAGGGAAAGCCTCTCCTAAATTGTAATTCTGATAATTCTGCTTCTTACTAACATATCTCAAGCGCTGTATTTAAAAGCTACTGATATAGAAAATAAATATGTATAAAAACTTAAGAGGTATTCTACTGAATAACTTTATATTCAACATAATTGACCTGGTGTTTGGTAATGAATGGATGACATCAGTTAAAATAGAGACTCAAATAAATGTTTCAATATAAATTAAATCATCATTCCCCAAAATGGATGATTCAAGGCCTTTTCTGAGTAAGGTCTGCTAATTAGAATTTCACTTCGTCATTTTTGTATCAAACACAACCTTATCCTATAGCTTCCTAATCTAATTTTTATTCCTTAAAGGAAAACAAGGACTTAAAGATATTTGCAAAGCAATCTGAATTTCTGTTGCAATCTTTTAGAAGTTTTTCACTCACACCTTATAAGTATTTCTTAAAAGATTCTCATCTTTAAAAAGTCTTTCCAGAAATGTAACTTCGTTTTTATAAAAACAACTACTCTTTGTCTTAGTTTATGCAATTTTTTAAATTAAATTATATAATTACAACAAAAATCTCAACTGGCCTAAACAGCTTGGGGAGTGTGGCAGTGGAGTGCTAGTGCCAGCTCCCAGCCAGTTCACAAGAGCCAACCAGATGCATCTTTTCCCAGCTCCTCATTAAACGCCTTCACTTTGTTAGCTTGAAATCAGCCATGATGGGAGTATTTATACCATGGCTATCAGCAAACATTTTAATTCAGGCTTTTTTTCAGAAAGCCAGGTGTTAAACATTTACCAGACTACCATAAGTATTGGTAATACTAGCAAATAGCCTACTGACCAAGCCTTTTTTAGAATGGTCTAGGCTTCAGCCAAGATATTTTATAAGGGAAATAGTTAAGTAGAGTATGATTAAGAAAGTTTCTACTTTATCTTCAAGAGCGGCCAATGGAAGGCAATAACTCATAAATCTTTTAAGTGGTACTGAAATAACATTGACTCGCATCTCGCTTTAACAGAAGTAACACAAGATTATTCATGTTTCCAATATTTAAATTATCAGTTAAAGATAGTCTCTTTGAGCATATCTTTATTATATGTTTATCTCCTATAGTTATATCTGCCACAAATCATAATAATTAGTAAGAAAAATTAACATGTTAGCAGAGCAAAGATATGAAATGAAATAAAATTAGAAAGCAGTGATGAAATACATAGATGAAGAAAAGTAGGGAATAAAAATTTTAAATGAAGACAAGTGAAAGATGCCACACAAATAGCTAAATCCATTAATTACCATCATTATTAAAGGAAGGGAAAGTTTAGAGTTGTGATATTTCTATAAAACCCAGTGTTACAAAACACCATGAAATAAATGATGTCAAATACCATTTCCAAAAAAAATAAAGCATCTAAGTATCTTGGCTTTAATAAATAACAAATAATAATTGAATATGAAGTGAAATGTATTCTTTCTCAAGTAAGCTGTCATGTCCAAAACCCATTAATTCTATATTCTTACCGTTTTGTGATCATTAACAATCATAAGTTCCAAGTATTTCATTTCTTCAAACACACCACGAGATGGCTGTGGAAAATAAAAATATGTGGTCAGAGATGACAGCACCATCTCTAATGCTGACTGTTAAGTTGTAGATTGACTTTGAATTTCAGAAAAACTCTTTGCTGCCTACTTTATAAACACCCTTGAAGAAACTTGGTCAGGTAAATAGAAAAAAGTGACAATAAAGCATGAGTAAACATTCAGGTATTCAGAAAAGAACTATATTTAACTGTCATTAAAGTGCTCAACAAAATAAAGAACAGCCCATGTTGTTTTTATATAATTTTTATATGTAAAAATATTCTAGAGGGCCGGCCAAGTGGTGCGATGGTTAAGAGCTGGCTTGGGATGCCAGAGGCCCCCAGTTCGGATCCCACATATGAGGGCCAGTGACACTACCCTCTACAAAAAAAAAAAAAATATATATATATATATATATATTCTAGAGAAAAATGTACAGTATAATTCTGCTAAGATATAATGTCAATTTCTGTGGCATTAAAATGTGATAAAAATATTCACATCTATTTAAAACTTCAAGGAAAACCTACGTAAAACTTACTTAATAAGAATAGCACAGTACATCTGGAAAAGATACCGTTGAAGTCAAATAGAAACCTTCACTCAATGGAGTGAAATTCTAATAATAATGAACTAATTCTGCAACACACAATTTTTCAAAGGAACAAACATTAACAATTACAATATTCTAAATTCTTACAAATTTTGATTATTACTAGATAATCCTTGAAGAGCAAAGGCTAAGTATTTTAGTGATCTTTGGGCTTTTGTTTCTTTTTCATAGTTAGAAAAGTACAAGGTCATTGATCAGTTTATATGTGATAGGGGTGCACTATAGTGAAATGTCATTAGCCTATATAAAACTTATTATTACCAACCATGTCTTCAAGAGTAAGCAAAAAGAAATTTCTAAGTAAAAAAAATTATATATACAGAGGATGCCCAAAAAGTATATACCCATTTTAAGATAACATCTCTTAAAATTTGTATATATTTTTTGAAACTATATATATTTTTTTTCCATAATCACCATAATACAAGCTCATAAAAAGACAATGATTTAAACTATAAGTTTTTGATGCCTGGAGGTCTAATTTTTTCACAAAATATACATTCAGCAAAACACTATTTAAAATGTGCAATTTCCAGTATAATTAATTACTCATTAAGTTATCTAGTAAATTACCATGTAATCTATAAGCTGTGGAATTAATTCTCCATTATATAGCATTCACCATATAATTACTAGACAGTCCCCATCATTACAGCTTTCTAATATATTTTGAAAAGGACTAGGAACATAATTTCAGTTACAAAGCCCCTATACATTTATCAATACATGGAGCTATGCGACAGATGCTGATTATATAATTACATGATTCTTATTCAGTAACTGTCATGATATTAATGGTCAAATAGATCCAATTCTGTTCAGAAAGACACATCCAGCTTCAAAGTTTGGTATAACAGAGTATTTAATTTTAAAGAAATAAAAATAAGTGTGATTAGCCAACATTTCGAAACCCAACTCCTCCCCCTACTTATTTTGTTAACAGAAATGTTTTATACGTTATATAAGCCATATTTTTAAAAACCTGCTATACTTTCAATAGAAAAAAAATGAACTGCAATTTTCATTTGAAAACAGAGCTAAAATAATATATTCTTCATATGACATTAGGGTTCATAAAACCTAGTAATCAGTTTACATCACTAATAGGGAAAACTGAATAAAAAGCAATATGCTTATAAGACTCAAACTACAGGGGGCTGGGTTTGCTTTTCTTTTACTTATAAGAGGAAGTTGCCCAAATCTAAACTGTTTTAGGTACACTTAGATACTGTGTGATGACAGACAGCAATTCCACGGAGTGCAATGGCTCCACCTGTGGCTCAATACCACACTCACATTCACTGCTCTCTTCCTTCGCCTTCTCAACCACCGTAATTCAGACAGAAAGGGCCACTGCTCGCTGCTTTCCATACCTGTGCAGAAGAAAACGGAATACAAAAACCTAGGCTTGACTGCATTCCAATGGGAATATGCTTTTCTAAATATTATATGAAGGCATAGCAACACTGATAGCATACTTCATCTCAAAATCAAAATTAAGGTGAAAACGTATGCTGATCATTACACATTTCACATTCTCACAGTAACGAATGTAATTCAATTTATAATTAGTAAGTTATAATACATAATTTAAACATAATTTTCTTCCAAACATCGTCAAAAGTAGAATAAGCTGTTCAAGATTCATTAGGATAAGCATATTTGATGTACTAACACCTGACCCTCAATATCTGAACGTCTAAAGAGAATTCTACTATGCTGAATTCATTTTAGAATTAAAAAATAATGTGTGCCATAGCCTTTGCATAAATTATTAAAGACTTTTGGTATTAATATACAGAATTAGTAACATCACATACCACAACAATCCAAAAGAAGCTTTTGCAAATCAACATGCTTAAGATGCCTCAGGACCACAGCATAAGAGAGACAATACAAGTTGGCTAAAGAGCAGTACCAAGGAAATTTAAGGATGAACCTCACTGTAAATCACTCTGTTCAATTTGGCCGCACTCTCTGGTTCCTAGCACAGCTTTATTCCTGGGCCTCATATTTCGGTCCTTCTATGAGACACAGAAACAACACTCCAAGCCTCATTATATGAAAGCCGCAGTTCACTCCACTGCCTATTCACACTGCTCACTCCAGATCTTGAGCCAATTCTACTTCCCAACCAGCCCACATGTCTACCGAGTTCTACCAAGTCATGGCTTCTGTTACAGAATACAGAATAGCCATTCGAATTCAAACTTACTGAGATTCTTCATCTGCTTAGAATATTGTCCTGCCAACGTTTTGTGGATTATATGTGGTCGACCTGTGCTTTTCTGAAACAAAAGCAATTAAAAAGCAAGATGTTATGGAGTATAGCATAGGGAATAGAGTCAATGGAATTGTGATAGATATATACAATGTCAGAGGGGCAATAGATTAGGGAAGGAGGGTTATCACTTTGTGAGGGGTGAAATGTCAAACTATTACATTGTTTTGCACACCTGAAACTATTAATAAATAAATAAATATAAATTTAAAAATAAAAAGCAACATGTGATTATGCCTCTATGGAATAATAGTATGAGACATTTCTCTAATAACCTTCCTAAAACAGGGAAATTTATATGCTAATGTTTTAGCTATCAAAAATGAAAAGTATATGACTTCTTGAAAATTTAATTTTAAATAAAATAGAGCATCATCCAATTGCTCCAGTTTAGAGATAAAAGCAATAGTTTTATTAGCTACTCTTAAGCCTTAGCTTTCTTCAAAGTCATGAATAGGAAGTTCACAAGAAAGAAATACAAATGGTCAATGAATATATGAAAAAATGACGATGCTTTAATATTCCTTTAAAACGCAATTTTTAAAAAACACATATATAAATTTTTGCCTTCCAGCTGGAAAAGCTTTAAAAATTATAACCATTGTTACTTATGGCTATAAGGCAAAAAGCACTCTCATACACTGCTGGCAGGAGAAAACTGGTAGCATAGTTTGAAAGAGACATTTAGCAATTCTATCAATAACCTTGAAAACATTCATGTCCTTTTAAAAATTACACTTTTAGATATCTTATTTCCATTACTATTAGCTTCCATTACTGAGTGCATAGTATGTGCCAGGCACTGATAATGAACACGTTACCCAATTTCATCCTCACAAGAACTCCATGCAGTGCATATTTTATCCCCATTTTACAAAGAAAAATATTGAGGCTCAGAGAGATACATTACTGAATTTAAATTATATTATAAAATAATGATCCAATTTATTTTTAAAATATATGAGAATATTATCATTGGAAAACTGGAAGAATGTATGCTGAACAGTGAAGAGAAGTTATCTCTGGGGGATGGGCTGATGGATAATTACTACTTAGTTAAGTTTTTGTTTATTTTGCTTTTCCAAATTTCCTACAATATGTTAGTTTTATAATCAGAAAAAATAGCTTAAAAAAGAGTATTCTTAATAGAGTACATAAAATACAGTAATTAAGAGTTTTGCTATTCACTTATTATTAGAGATAATATGAATTCTCATTAGAAAATCCCATCCTTATTACTTGACTTACTGTAAAACATACTGCAATCAATAATAATAAACTAAATATGAAAAATATCTAAATTCAAGTACACTAAACTCTTAATTCTGGTAATAGTTGAAAAGATACCTAGAGTAGTGAGACTCACAACTAGATGAGCAACACAATTTTAAAAACGGACTAATTTAAAGTTTCAAGCATTGTTCCTTTCCCTCTACCTCTGGTGAAGACGAGGACAAATCATTACATGAACAAAAGGTAGGTAGGAAGAAAGAGGGCAAAAAACAAAAGATGTTAAGCATGTGACAATCAGCCCCTGAAGAATATGATTACGGGTATAACAATGCAAAACCAATGCTTTAAATATCAGAATAATAACAGTTTATATTTGTAAATCTCTTCAGCAGTTTATTAGATAAAGTTAAATACATTTATTAATTCATCAATTCTACAAAATTGCCCTACTAGAGATGTATTGAAAAATTATCTCATTTTACATATTTAAAAACTCTTAAGGTTTAGGGAGTTATAATTTTATTTTTTTGTTTTGTTTTGTTCTTTAGGTTTTGCTTTATTTTGTTGCTTTTTTTTTAGGTAGTGGGGCTATTAATCTATGCCAGAAATCAAAGTCTATTTTTTGCTGAATGAGCCAAATAATTTTGCTGTATGCAGGTTATCTACCTACCACTGGAGTATGGGGGAAAACATTTACTTAATCAAAATGTCTTTATCTACATGGGGTTGTCTAGTTATCTGGTAATTTTTATAGTCACTACTTGAAAAATGACACCAGATTATTCAAACACTAACCATTTAAAATTTAATCACTTTCTGTCTCAAATTTGAAATTTATCCCATATCCATAAATACATTGCCACAACAAAGAAAATAAATGTTTGTCTGTTCAACTGTTATTATCTACATTTGAAATCTCTAAAGAAAAAAACGTTTTCTGCTCCCCATGAAACGACTGCAATATTCTGACGCCATCACTCTCAAAGTATTATTTCCCATTAGCAGTTCTTTTCACTGATAGGACCTCCCTACTATTACCTCTCAGGGCCTTCATCTCAAACTACTCTCCCTCTTGTCCACTCCTCTCCAACTTAACTGGGTTCCTCAAAGTTCCCACAACACACTGGGAACAGTCCTGCCTCACGGCCTTTGCATTTGCTCTTCTGGAATGTTCTTCCAGCTCCCTAATTTCTTAAAGATCTTCATTCAAAACTACCGTCTCATTGTACCCTTCCCTGGATAGTTAATATGAAGGTTTAACTCCACCTTGCTGGCTCCATTTTTTTCTCCTTAGCATGTATCAATGCCTAACACACCGTATGTAATTACGTATTCATTCTGCTTATTCCTGTCTACTCCTGTAGACTATAAGCTCCATTAGGCTCAGGCTCTATGTCAGTTTTGTTCACTTTATCCCCAGCACCTAAAATAGTCCCCAGCATGCAGTAAGCCCTCATTACAGTATTTGATGAATATGCATAAAATTTTTAATTTGGTTGCATCCTATTAATGAGTAACACTACTAGAGTGTATCAAGATATAATTGACATATAATACAGTATAAGTTTAAGGTGTACAACATGATTTATGTATATATTGTAAAACAGTAAGTTTGGTGAACATCTATCACCTCACATGATACAAAATGTTTTTCTTATGATGGGAATGTGGAAGATCTACTTTCTTAGAAACTTGCAAATATACAATATAGTATTGTTAACTATAGTCACCAGGTTGTATGTTACATTCCCCAGAACTTATTTATCTCATAACTGGAAGATTGTACCTTTTGACCATCTTCATCCATTTCCCCCATTGGCCTCTGGTAACGGCTCATCTGTTCTCTATTTCTGTGAGTTTAGGATATTTTAGATTCTACAAATAGGAGAGACCATACAGTATTTCTTTGCCTGATTTATTTCACTTAGCATTATGCCCTCATGATTTCTTGCCTAGGTTGCTGGCCTGTGCATGACTCTAAACAATATTTTCTTCCCTATCTCTAAAGAAACTTAAGTATTACAGAAAAAGAAGCTGTCAGTATAAAACTAAATGTCCTCTCTGCTCTCTCTATAGACTGGAAAGAACAGTCCTTCGCTTCAGAAAACCTAGGAGTGTTGCCTCATATCATCCCTTACTGATGTGTGGCCTGGATTGTAGGACTTAAGATGTAAGACTCATAGTATCATCCTAAGTTTGAAACAGGTACTATGCATAAATGCACGTTGACATCTACATTATGTTCTCTTTATTGATCAAAGGCAAAGATGCTGAAAGAATAAAACACCTTCAGGAAACTGATGTCACAGTCAGACTTACCTCATCATGAATCAGCTCTAGTGGTTCTATCATATACACAAACGTATCATCTTCAAACATACCACTACAACACAAGAAAGCACACAAGGAGAATATTAACAAATACAGCAAACAGCAAAAAATAACAGGTGAGCTTCATATTATGTCTTTAAAACTAAATAGTATATCTAAATAAATACCTTTATACTGCCCAAATCTCATTCACTTATCTGCATGGAATCCCACTCTGGTCTCCACACTGTACTAGTCAGCATATACGCTACACAAGGTATAAAAAGTGTACATCAAAAGCATACAGATTATACCTGATATAATTAATTTTTGAAATTAAATAGACAGATTAGGAGATTAATCTGGGATAGAACTATTCATGCAATTCCAGTATCGCAAGGTATTATCCCAGAATAATGCACAACTAGTACAAGTTTCTTGTTATGCAAATCCAATACCTATAGGAAAATGACAGGTTATTTATGTATAAGAATAATCTAACACCATCTGATTCTGAAGAGGCAAATAGAAGTATCTTTATGCTTGCAAATGGTGAATTTCGATTAGGCAGTGTGACTCTGTGTTGAAAATCACATTTAATGTTCAGAGATACGGGATTTTTTATTACATGCAAAGATAAGGTTTTCTTCAAGAACTTTTTTCCTCAAATGGCCATAACTAGATATTTACATGAAGTGTTCTGCATTCAGGTCTAAAAGATGCCTGGAAATGATTTTTTTTTTAGAGCCTGCCTCAAAGCCGATGCATGAGTTCCTGTCTTTTATACCCCACCCTCACCTGGCTAACTCCTACTTATCTTCAGGTCTAATCTGATTGAAATGTCCTCTGGCATACACCTCTGGGAAATCTTCCTGGACTTGGTTCAGTTACCCTATAAGTCCCGGTCCTTCCCCTTCTCAGTACCTACCAAAAAGGCAAATTCAATATGTTTCTGTGTAATCATTTCTTTAATCTCTGAATCTCCTGCAAACTCTAAGTGTTAAGCAAGCAGAGATTCTGCCGTCCTTGTTCATCACTCCATATCCAGTCCCTAACAGGGCACCAATAACTCACTACAATAAATATCCGCAAAAGAAACGGTGGAAAGGGTGAATGGGTGAAAGCAAGTTCATTCTCCCAATGAGCGTGCCACGTACTGAAGTCCATTGCAGGTCGACAGAGCTGCCCTGGAGTCCTTGACACCGCGGATGCTTCCGTGATAGTAACAGTGCTCTCCACCCTACAATGCAGAAGAAGGTGTGATTGAGAAAGTATGCTTTTTGCATCATGATTCACTCTTTTGGATGCTCCTATAAAGCAAAAAGATATGTGAGGACAGACCTAGAAACTCCTCCTGGTTAATGTGAAATCTCAACATTCCTGTCATAAGTATGTGTATATGAACTTAAATAAACAAGAAAAGGCTTTACCAGGAATAAGACACCAATGCCACTGATGCAGCTTACATATCTTTCTTAAGCATGTAAGGGAGTAGATACTTACCAGATATTGTTATGTAATAAGGTCTTCTACCTAACTGAGGAGAGGCCCCAATACTGTTATTTATAATCATTTTTTATGGAAAACTACATAAAACATTATTTGCATTTCTACTTTTTAAAATTAGTGTTTGTTTTTTTTAATTAGAGGGGTGGTGGGTTAGCTCAGGTGGTTAGAGTGCATGCTCATAACACCAAGGTTGCCAGTTCGATTACCACATGGGCTAAGGAGCTGCGCCCTCCACAACTAGATTGAAACAACTACTTGACTTGGAGCTGATGGGTCCTGGAAAAACACACTGTTCCCCAATAAAATTTCTTAAAAAATAAAGAGAGAGAAAAAGAAAAGAAAGTCTCGGTTAAAATATTAAAAAAACAAAAAATTAGAAATAATATGTGGATTTAGTTTTCAAAGTCAAATAGTAACTACAAGGCCTATTTTTAAAAAACATACAGCAGTTATCTTTCTCCCTCTCTCCCCACCTCCACAGCAATCATTTTTAACGCTTTTAGCTGCTTCTTCTGCTGTTTATTTTTGAATAATATATTTCTGAATGGAATATTTATTTATACTATTATGTCCTGATCTATTTCACTTTAGAAAATTTCTTCCTAATATAGAATCTTAAAAACCTCTCTTGCCCCCAATCAAATTCCAATACACATCACCAGTTTTGGGTTAAATTGATATTTAATATTTGTATCAACTATGCAAATATTGTTCATAGCTATACCACTGTGATTACATTTACATTTTATTTCCTGCTCCATTTTTTATTTTTTAAGAATTTTTGCTTTGCTTTCTTGTTCGCTTATTTTTCCATGCATTTAATAGCCCCATTATTGGAAATATTATCTACACCTCTTCTCCCGTGATCAAACACATCGGGTAATGGATCAGATCCATTTTGCTCTTGGAGACATCCTTATTGTTTCCCTTCAACCTCCCCCTAGGCCTTCTGTACTGCTGCCATCCAGGATTTCTCTGCAACATCACCCTGGGAACTTTCTTAGCCTCCCTTCTAAATTAAATCCTAGACCACGTCTTATCCATTCATGGTCTCACCTTCCCCTTTTCTGGAGGCACACATCCTCTGGTACTTTCTTGAACAAGTATTCATGGAAGTTAAATTTGTTGAGAACTTGCATGTATGAAAATGTCCTTATCTGCCTTTACACTTGAGTGATCATTTGGGTGGATAGAGAATTATACATTGGAAATTATTTTCCCTTGGCATTTCAATAACATTGTACACAGACTTATACTTCTAATGTTGCTGTTGAGAATTGGATGTAATTCCAATGTTTGATATTTTCTATCAAATCTATTTTTCCCCTTTCACGAACACTTTAGGAACTTTTATTCATCCTCATTTTCATGAAATCTCATGACGTGCATTGGTGTGGGTCTTTGTTTATTCATTGCATCGGGTACTCTGTCACACCTTTTAGTCAAGAAAATGCATGCACTTCAGTTCTGGGAAACTTTTATTATTTCTCTGATAATTCCCATCTTTCCATTTGTCTCTAGACACTGAGCTCTTCTACCAGAGTACAGAAGGGATGGCTGCCTAGCTCTATGGGGTACGGAATAGATCAAGGGTTTAAATAGCCTCCATGTAGACTTTCAACCAACCTTTCTGCTTTCATGAGCTTTCAATTCCTGGGCCTTTCTGGGTAGTCACATGAGATGGCTTGCTTCTTCTGGGTTTCCCCCAGTGGAACAAAACAGAGCAGGAAAAGCTTCAACCTAAGGCAGTTACTCCTCACTCATCTGCTTTCTATCTCCTCTAATTCTATGGACATCGCTCATCTGCTGTCTTTTCTTCTCTTGTCTTTGTCCTTGTGGGTTTATACCATTTTTTTTTAATTCCTTAACTGTTATTTGAGTGGGTTATTGGAAGGCACGAAAGATAAGCATCAAATCGACACTGTTTAACCAGAAGCTTCCAATTTGTGTTCTTAAATAGACTACACTGGACATACTTTGATTTTTATTGATGATTTACAGTCATTTTGATCACTGTTTATTATACTGTACTTAAGTAGCCTCAGACACTATTCCAAGTGCCTCAAGGTGCCCATCCACACACCAAATGGCCACTCCCCAACCAACTCAGTTTGTTTCCTCTCAGTAACTATAATACATATTTTCAATGTTCGTTGTCTGAATTTGGTGTTATAAACTTGTTAATGTTTTATAAAGGTTTGCTTCTCAGTTCTCAAAAAGCAACCTTGTGTACAAATATTGACTCGTATACAATATGTCAACTTCTATTTGCATATTCAACTCTGGTAATTATAAGGACAAATAGTATCTCATGTCTCAGCAATCTGAGAATCCAGGTCAATATTCTGCAATTAAATTTCAGACTCTTCACAACTCTAAAAACAACCATAGGTAACTGTAAATTCCATCAAACTGATTATTTAGCACTTTATATGACACCAACAGGCTATCTCAAGCCAGGTGATTATTAGAAGTGCATAGCAAACACTGTCATATTTACTTGACCTTTCTAAGAAAGCTATATTTTCCAGATTTTCCTAAAAATATCCTTTTTTTCCAGAAAATATTTCAAAGTCCTTTCTTAGATTTTGTTTCATTCACTTGCATTGGAAAATAAGGCTAATGCTCTCTCAGTATAAGTCATTGCTACTTGTTTTCATTAAGGTAGAATATTATCTGAAGGGAACTGTTTTAAGTTCCCTGTGTATGTGAATGTGGATCACCATATTTTCTGAACCTTAAATGAGGCTTGAAGTAGCATCCAATCCCTGATGTTTATCATCATAAGAAAACTTTAATATCTAATTATGTAGTTATATTAAGCACTATAAGCAATTTGGCAGGTTCTAATTTAGTATTCGTGTTAGAGGGTTTTCTGAGTTTCTGTTTACTAAATTTATACCAAATTTCAAGAAAGCGTTACCCAAAAAACACTATTTGGCCACTCTCCAGGTCAATGCAGCATTTTGTAAACACCACTGCAAAGTAACATCTTGATGTATTTCATATTAAATAAGTCCCAGTTGAGAAGAGTCATTCCATCTAGGCTAACAAGCATAACAGTGGCGGGCCAGTGCAAAGAGGCCACTTCCAGAGGCTTCGTTAACCCTGATGTTGGGCAGTCAGCTCTGGGGGTGCCTTCCACACAAGGATCCAGCCATCTTGAACACTCACTACCTCACAGTAACTAACTACTATCTCCACATACAGACAGGGAGAGAGTCACAGAGTGCTAAAAGGCTCTGCCAAGGATAGCAGCAAGACAATCTGAATCCCACATCTTCAGGCTCTCAAATTAGTCTTTCTCCAGTCAGTAAGGCCTGAGGCAGCTCAAGAGCGCTGGCCAGTGAATTAGAGATCACCACATATGAGTGGGTCACAGATCAGTGACTAAGCACAGGCAAGAGAACCAAAAAGGGCCCACTGGGCCCATTCCACAAGTATACATGCGTCCTCAGGGGCATTTTTTTATTCGAAACTGTCAATAAGTTCATTAAATTCAACAAAAATGGAGCTTCTGGTAAGTGGAAATTATTGGATAGTCAAAGGAACTTAAACATCCTAATAAGTATGCCCCCCAACTTTCTCAGCCTACCACTGTCACATAGCTGAACACTCCACAAGCCAGATGACGCTCAAATAATTAGCTTTGCTCCTCAAGGTTGCCAAGCGAACAAGTCCTTTGGAAAGCACCAGGCCACTCCTACAAATAATGAAACACTGAAGCCATGTGCATCCTTTAAAACACTTCCTAATCAGGAGTGGCTGGGATTACAACTTGGTGGGTCTAGTGATAACTTAGAGAGGAAAACAGATTTGGTTCCCTGGTATTATTGCTCAAATGACAGGAATGTTTTGATTCTACTCACTTTAAATAGAACCTATTGGAAATACAACCTATTGTTTCAATTTAACTATTTTAAAATCACTCCACCTTTGTGTCTGTTTAATTATCTTATCTGTTTCAGTAAAATGTAATTATTATCTTCATTGCTTAAAAAACTCTCATAAACTTGGGCATTCATGGTGACCAAGCACTGGTGTTTTTAATCAATTCCTAAATGTGTGGATAAACATTTAAAAAGAGCTGCATAGGCCTCAGCTCCCAAAGGTGTCTATTTTGATATTCCAGGTTCTGAATATAATAATAAAATATAACACTATATTCACTGTCTTTAAATATCTCAAAGTCATCAACCAGCAGTGTGTATCAATCTATTTAATATATCAGTGGGCTGGTAGCGAAAGAGAAAAGATGTCTATAATTGGACACATATATCTGAATTTGAATATTATAGAATAAGAATACGAAAAATAAATATTTCAGAGAATCAGAGAACTTATGGCCCTAACACAGTTTAATTATTTACCTTCATGAAACTCAATGGGGGGAAAACGTTCAAGTATTAGAACAGTTCGGCTGTACCAAGGCTAGATACATTTTTAATAATTCCTACAAAATCACACTATTCAAACTTAAAATAGCTTTGTGAGGAGCCAGTACTGTCTGCTCTCTTGATTTCATGGGAATTTTTTTTTTTTTAACCTTCCCAGCCAGGAGCCATGTCTATAGAGGCCCATTCCCTCTGACAATAATCCCTGCTAAGGAGTCTTCATGGAAGAAGGGAGCTTCAGCTGAGCCGTGGTGATGATTTGATAAGAAAAGCACAAACAACAGTGTAGAAAGGCAATGTGATTACAGTGATAAAGGAAAAAAAAAAAAGGCAGAGC